TACTCTCGGCAAAACACAATTAACTGAACTTAAACATGATATACTGAACAAGATAACATGATATACTTGAATGATTTGAGCTAAACATATTGAACACATACGCACGGCCCATGGTGCGCTATATGCGCAACCACGTCCTCTCGGCCGAACACCGCATAACACGAATATACTCCCGAGCAACATAAGCTGAAACAACTTGATATAACATGAAAATACTGACTTCATGATTATTGCTCGAGAGAGTATAAATTTTAAACATGATATGCCCCACATGAACTTCCCGCACGACGAACACGAACATGACTAAGACGCGGATTTGAACTCAAGTTATGATCATAGTTAAACTTGATACTATTAATCACAACAGGTTGATAGTTTAACTACCTCTCTGCTGATCGAAGGTCTCCGCTAGTTGCGGCGTTCGCGTGCGTGCCAACTCTCTCGGCGGTGCGGTGCGGTGCGGCTTGCCGTGCGCCTCGCGTGTGTACTGACTGCCGTGGAGTACTGCGGCTACGTGCGGTGTTGCTAACTAGCTTGCAGTGCGGTGATAAGGTGCTACTTGGATAACTTGTGGACAACTCTTATAATTCCTCACAAACTCACTTAACCTTTCGGAATTTAGTACATAAGGTAAAGAAATGGGATGAAATTTTCCAAACTTTCCCCCTTTTATACTACATGACCAAAGAGGTGTTATGCTTGGAGGATAATGGTGTGGCTTCATTAAATTAAGGACACTTGGAGTAAATTTAAGAGCCCTTAAGGTGACTAATCCCCTCTTTAGCTCATCTAATGCCACGTTTAAGGTCTTAGAAATGAAGGAAAATTGGACACAATCCCACTAGCAAACCTCAATTAAACGTACGGCATTATTGACTTAGTGGGAAGAATTTTTGTACAAACAATTCGTACTTTTATTTGGAAAGAAAATTTCCACATGGCTTAGCACTTAATTAATGTGATTAATTAAAAATTAATCACTTCCTTTATGTTTAATCTTTAATTAAACATAATACTTTATTAACAAAATTATTCTGAACGTAAACGGTACGTCGTAAATAATTTCCGGTAATTTCGACTGAACTGACTGAAAATAATTAATTCCGAAAATTAATATCGGAACTAAAACATAATTTATACTGAGACTGACGGATATTACATTATCTATGCCATAACATGTGTAGATCTCGCTCTCCCATTTCCGAAATGGTATTATGGGCTGAAATCGGAGACTTGTAACAAAAGTTATGGCCAAAACGGTTTTCGCCGACGAAAATGCTGAAACCCTAGCCGCCGCCTCCAGCTTGATCATATTCATCACGTTCGACTTTGAACACAAAATTACAGCAAAAATCGAACAAGAACAGCTCTACTACTGTCTACAAAATCGCCTATACCACCCACACTTATTATCTGGTGGGAAAAACGATTACAACAATACACAAGGGTTGCGATACACACCATCCAGAAACATAAACGAGATATATAATCATCCATACCATGAACATGACTGAAAATGAATAATTGAATAAATGAAATCAACTACATGTTCCAGGCAGAGCCGATAATCCACGAAACTGCGGCTCTGATACCAATTGCTGGAACACGCCGATGAGGCGGTCCTTCCCACGGATCGATATCGGATACCAAAACACGTACATGCATGATTTCTAATTACCCTAGGCATGCTCCTAAAGGAAGAACAGAGAATTACATTGAAATGGAGGTTTGATTCAATCTGAGCGACCTTCTAGTCTGTGTCCCGACCATGCTTGGACGTCGGATGGACGACGATCCTCCAAACGGTTGCAAAAGGTGGACTGCCCTCGTCTTTCTTGAATCCTTCTCGTTTCTCTCTCCACGATAGTGGCTGGAGTGTCTCACGAGTGCTAGGGTTTTAGAATGTGGGAAGTCCCCTCCTTTTATAAAGGTCCTTGGGCCAGCCTAGGGATCTCTGAGAAGGTATAGGGTTTGGGCTCCCTACAGGCCCAAATTCTTATGTTAAACCTAGAACAAAATTTGGCCCGTAAGTATTAATTCATCCCACTAGAGAATTAATATTGCACTCCCGTCCTATCCCGAAATAAATCGAGGCTTCTATTAGACTCGATATAATTCCCCGTGCTTAAGATATCGCACGTCGATTAATTATTAAAGCTTCAGACTGCTTTAATTAATTAATATCTTTTATTCCATAAGTAGTACCACTCAACCTTATTATCGTACGGATTAAATCCGCCTGTAGGGTTTATATGATAATCCTTATGAGTACCTTAAGGGGACGTCATCAACCTGGATGTCCAGGACACGGTGCCCTAATGCCAATAAATAGATATCATGCAGATAATGTTGTTACCCAAGATACAGAGCATATTGAACCACTTGGCTCTCACCCATGGTAAATCAAAGTAACAAACAAATATCCCACATATCTAAGTATCATAATTAGGGTTAAGAATTAGTAGAGTCACCGAGACCTAGGTTCTTCATGAGTCAGAACAGAAGAACACGTCACAACTGTGATCCATTCAATGCGACACAACACATTAGTATAAACCAATAGCCAAGACAAGCTATATCCAGTTTATACTACAACCTAAACCGATAGTCATGTCCATAACTATCGCAGTTGTGAATACCATTTATATCTTATAAGGGACCGACAATGTAATTTTATGTATGACTACTAACACACCACATTGTCTACAATATAAGAGAATTGGACATTCAGCATACAAGCAATCATAAAGAATGCAACAATGTGAAAACATTTATTTCAGTCAAATGGGAAATCGGATAAATACTATCCAAAAGTTCACATAAAAGTTTTGCTTTATTGTATACCCCAACACTAGTTTCAATTTTGATTAGTTTAGAGTAGAAGTTAGATAATGGGCAAGCATATGATTGAACTTGTTATCGACAAATTTGAATGCACCTATCTTTATTCATATAAGAAATCGAGTGAGGCACACATATAGATTTATATATTGAGAGAACGCCATTTCGAAGTATAGTGATCAAGCATGTAGTTGTGTAGTGCTCGTATATGCCATTTGAATACTTGTTGTTGAAGTTGAACATTTTGAATCTTATCTTGTTAATGATTGTTGTCCATGCTCGGGTTTTTAGTTTTGTGTCTTTTCTTTTCTTTTCTTTTCTTTTTGTTCGGGACGAACAAAGGTTAATGTGTAGAGGAGTTGTTTGTTCCATTTTTGTTACGTTTTTCGTGTTTGTTTTATCTTTCTTTTTCTACCGTTTTAGGTTGTTTCTTTAGTTTTTAGTTCATTTCATGCTTTATTATGTGTTTCCTTTTATTCTGAGTCTTTAGGTGTTTTCGTTTGTTTTTCCTATTTTCTTTTGTGTTTTGTCGTTTTTGGTGTGTAGGTCGGGAGCTTTGGGTGAGTTTTCTCTTCAGGAAAATTGATTTCGAGAGCATAGTCGAATAGATGAGTTCGTTAGCTATGCATAGAAAAAAACAGCACTCAATTCTGAGTTCGTACGAGCTCAAACGAGGCCGAAACGTAAGATGGTGCAGTGCAGCCTAGGTCGCGACCCGCGACCCGCGACCGCGCCCCATGCCAGTGCCCAGCACCTGTGCGCCCGTGGCCGCGTCAGTGACCTGCGGCTGCGGAGGACCCGCGACCAGATTTTGCAATTTCAATTTTTCTCGTTTTAGCTCCATTTTTCGAGCACTATATATCAAAACGATCCTTGGACTCGTGGGAACAATCCCCAATATTGTTTTTGCACTTTCTCCTTCTCCAAAACTGAGATTTAGATCATTCTTTATGCTCAGTTCTCTCTTGACTTTTCTGAATTTAGCTTTATCATTGGATTCAAATATCGGATTTCTATTAATCGTAAGTTTCTTTGTTCATCTAATCCATGAATGTGATGATTTTGATTGTTGAGATGGTTGATTTTGAATTCCATATAAGTAGCTAATTCCTTCGCTAGGGATAGGGGATGATGATGATGTCTAGAATTTAATATTGATTTTCATGCTTGTTGATCGTTCAATTTATGCGAGTTGTGCTTAACTAGGGTTTATAATTCTAATGCTTAAATGTTGAATATTATCGAAGAGTGACACTTCGATTCGCATTGATTTCCAATTGAATATCATTCATTCTTGTTTGATGTTTTTAAATCCGACGAACTAGTAGATTAACAATTGTCTAGGATAATTAATCAACTATTAGAACCGAAAGGAGAGGAGTTGATCGATATAGGCTCGCAAGAAATAGACTTGTTCTAAAACGTATTGTGTATATGTTGTGTGGTTTGTTTGATTTACCGTCTATGTTATCCTCTTGTTATGAAGAGTTATTGAGGACTATCTCTAGACGTTAGGTTGTTCGAACCATTTAACCGAATGTTCTTAGCTTGATATTTGCATTGGTTAGAAAATCATCATCCCCGACTCCCTAGCTTCTCCTTCGTCGCTTGATTCTTATTTTCGGTTGATTTATATTTTTGTATTATTTTATTGTTCTTAGTTGATAAAATCATCCATCTTGATTAGTGTGTTTAAGCTTATTTTACTCTTGTTTGTTATCAACACTGAATGTAAATTCCGAACCGCCTTCTTCGAGAGATCGACCTGGGGAACGAATCTTTTGATTCGGTACTCGGTAAAGAGAAAAATAATTTGCTACAACAAATCGGCTCACAAATCAGATAATATATCAGTACACCAGAAATTAAAAAGATCACGATACAAATCTGATCACACCAAAAGGTAACCAACATTGACAGGAGTCGGCGGCTGAAAGGTGGCGACAAACAAAGTCAGAGGTGAGCAACATGCATCGGCGGAAGCTTCCGGCACTGCGATGGAGACATGGATGAAAATGATCCTTATTTTTCAGGCCAAGGCTCACCTCGCGATGCCGAATAGGATGACGGGGATGGTGAGAGTCGATGGTGGGTGGAGACGAGCGATGAAAGACCAAGCCTATATTTGACTCTAACCCTATTCTGATACCATGAAAGAATGTGAAAAAAAAATATTTCTTGTACTAATAACAAAGGTATGCACATGTATATAAAGACATGAGATGAGTCTTAGGTTAGACATTATCCTAGCCTACAATACAGTACAACAACTATATACTAACAAATTTGTTTGATATTTTCATTATTATAACCATTATATGGTAAAATCATATAAAATTCTACTACCAAATATATTTATATAGTAATACCTTTGTGATATAGCCCTATTATCATAGCTCGATCCAGATAGTGATTGTCCGACTAAAGACTGCGGACGACTTCACTAAGTCGACGCCTACGATGTCGACTTGGCCCATCGGCCGTTCAAAAGTCGTCGGTCCGGCCACGGTCTTTAGTTGACTTTATAAAGTCGACCGGGTACAAGACGACTTCACTGAAGATGACGAGCAGGCACTCTAGGAGCCCCCAGATGCTTGTGTAACCTTAGATCGACTCGGCAAGGTCCCAAGTCGACTTATAAAGACCTCCGACGACTTGATATACAGATGCGACACATAGAAGGTTCCCAAGTGCGATTTTACACAGGATAAGAAGGAATATAGATGTTGACTCAGGAGTAAGCGGAATGCGAACCGACCAGGGCATTTTGGACACTTCGTGTAAGTCGGCCGAGGCATTTTAGGTACTTCAAGTAAGTGTTTCTACTCCTATATAAAGGGGCTCAGGTAACTCCAAACCCTAACTTTCATTCTCTTCATTCATTATTCAGCTTCTGCTCCTACTGAGCAGAGCTCATCTTCTTCTCTCTCACTAACTTGAGCGTCGGAGGATCTTCACTGGAAAACACTTCCGGTGTTGAGTTCTTGCTGGATTTCGCAGCAGTTCACGAACGATTTGGAGCCAATTCAAACAGAGCGGAGCTCATTCCCTTCGGTTCACTCCAGATCTAGGAGGAGACCCATCAAATTGGCGCCGTCTATAAGGAGTTCTTGAAGGAAGTAAGAGCTTTGCACCTAGTTCCGATCCGTTTGACATGGCGGAGAAGGAAGGATTGTCGAGAAATTTGAACGAGAACTTTCGGGCAGCGTGGACGGATAAACGGCCGCCGCCGATTCCTGGCCCTAGACCACCACTTCAGGTGCTCGGTTTCCCGCCGTTTGGAGGGCACGCGCCGTCGGGAGCGCGTAGGGAAGAAGAAACACCCATCACACCACCTGGGGTGAAAATTCCAGGGCTAACACAAGGAGGATCTAGCCAGACAAGGACCATCGACACGGGAACTGACGAGAACGAGTCAGCTAAAATGGCTTTGAGCTTGGGAAAGCAGTCTGAAATGTTGGAGCAAGGGGCAAGACCACCACCCAGGTCGAGGAGCAAATGATGACCATAACAAGGAATGAGATGCAGAGAATGATTGCGGAGGCGGTGGCAACCCAACTCAAACAGGTGCAAGTCGAGCAACCCAGGGTCGAGCAACCTAGGATGGAGCCACCTAGAGTCGAACAACATAGGGTCGAGTTGCCACCCCATGATCACGAGCAACAAGCCCAGTCCAATGATAGGCAGATCATGAGGGTTTAGGAGGAAGCATCCTCCATTAGGACTGCCAATCCGCAGGCGAGGGATGAGACATTGGAGCAGTTGTTGGCCCAAGTTCGCGATCTACAGGCCCGAGACGAGGGGAGGAAAGTTGGAGGCTCGAGAGGACATCCGTTCTCGCAGCACATTATGGATGCCGACCTGCCACAAGGTTTTCGTGATCTAAACATAAGTTATGACGGGTCAACTGATCCATCTCGTCATATGAGGAGTTTTGAGAATATGGCAGTTCTTCATCGTTACAATGACCCGGTGCAGTGTCGAGCTTTCTTGACGACTTTGCGGGGATCTGCGCAGGATTGGTTTCATCAACTGCCAGCAGGAGCCATCAAGAACTTTGAGGGATTCAACGTGATCTTTCTCAATCAATTTGCAAGTGTTAAACCGCAAAAGAAATCGTATTTGACCTTGATGGGCATTCAGCAGAGGGAAGGCGAGTTACTGCGAGATTATGTGGCAAGATATACGCGAGCGTGCGTCGAAGTGCCCAGGGCGTCGGAGGAAATCAAGGCAGGAGGTTTGACTCGAGGGTTGTTACCAGGCCTATGCAGGAATTCTTTAGCAAAGCGACCGGGTAGAACGTTTGATGAAGTATTGGGGAGATGTGCGAAGTATATGAATGTCGAGGAAGCTGAATTCGACTTCTTGCGGGCGGTTAAAGTGAGTAAAGTTGACCCTCGGGATGAGAGGAGGGATAAGAAAGTTTCTTCGACCAGGGAAAGGAAAGGGTCCCCAC